GGTATGATAACTGTTCAGTCTTCTCAGCAATAACATTGAAGCACACCCAGTCACCGAGATTGAGAGGTGGGATGGCAAGCAGTCCCCTGTTCTGCTGTGGTGAGAGAGCACAATAAGAATATTGGTGTGGTAGATCTGCTGGACTCTCATCGCACTGTACCGCAACAAAATCAGGTCGAAGATGTTCGACATTATTGACGTGACCATTGTAACTGCGTGGCTGCTCAACAAGAGAGATTGCAGAAGCAGAGAAATGAGAAAGGAGGAACAGATGAGGCTTCATACGTTCAAGTTGTATATTGCAGAAAGCTTGTGCAAAAGTGGAAATAATCTGGAGCGTAAGAGCGATTGTCCCAGTTCCGCAATTGCTGGGGAGTATGAAGAAAAGAGGAGAAGAGGACCCACTACACTCATTCCGGTGCCTAATGTGCGTCGGGTTCCCGCCTCTTTACGCCGACACTCCAAGCACTAGGAAGTTCTGTAACAGCAGCTCGACTGAGGGCTTTTGTTTTGGAGGTTTTCATAGGAGCCTGTTGGAGAGTCTAGGTGTTAACATAGCTCAGGTAAATGGGAAGGTGCCCTGGCCAAGCTGTTCCCACGCTCATCAAGTTCCTCTATAGAGAGTCTAGGTTGCATTCGTGTCCCCTGTAGGTGCACTGTACAGGTAAAAAACATAAAACTGAGATGATTTTCCACTTGTGAAACATTTCTGCCGGGCATGGATGAAAAGAAAGGGATACATAAAACACCAATTCAATCACTACCACACAGGAACACACAATCAGAAAAACAAACACACACTGCAGCTAACTTCTAACCCATTGATTGATTAACCATTTGTGGCTGATGTTTGTTGAAATAAAACGTGATGAAATTAATGTAGTTGAAATAAAACATGTTGATCCACGCCGGTATTACCCCGTAACCCCAGCTCTCCGTTTCTAGGGTTAGGTTCTACTTGCCTACAGACCCTTGACGAAATAGGATTCTGTAAAACTGCTTAAGCTGGTGTCGAGGAAACTCACCTAGCTTCTAACTGCCTTAATCCAAATGCCTACCCCGCTTCTTCTAATAGTTGACTCAACTAAGTAGCCTCAGTAGTGAAATCACTCTACCAGACACGCCTGTTGGTGGCAGCTTTCCTCTTAAATCGCGCACTTGGTAATTGCCAGGTTAAAATTGAGAATTTTGGGACAACTAACCCCAGGGATATGTTTAAAAATGCTATTTTCCTCATGACTTAGAATAACTATTAAGAACCACTATGAAAAGCACCCAAAAAGAAGTTTTCATTTTCCTGGCGTGACTTTTTATTAGAGGTGGTTATTAGAATATTCATACTGAACACACTAGTCACTGATATTCATTTTTTGTTACAAATTCAAAATGTCACACTGAAATTTAAAACTGCCTGCAAGGCATGTTCATTATTTTCTTATTGAAGTGCTACGCTTCATTTGTTTGGAGATTCTGGCTCCGGGGGGCTTTAGAGCCCACTGATATTTGTTCAAACTCATTTCTAGGATGTTTAATTAAAGTTATTAGGGACCACAGGTGAGTAAGTTCATTTGCAGTGAATCATATTCCTGCAGTAACACACAGGAGTCTGTTCATCAACGAACAACGCCAGTGAGAGAAAAATGCAGTAAGAGATGATAAATGGACAAATACAACAGTGTAATTTTATTTTTTGGACTTTATGTCTAGTAGGAGTAAAGTCGAACACGTGAAGAAGTGGTGTTCTAGTGCTACTAGCCAGGAAAAGAGGTACCCACGCCTTATCAACTTTTGAATGCCTTTAAAAGAGACTGAGATTTTTAATAGTTATCGAGGATTCAGTTCATACACTCCCTTCAGAAACCATTCGACCCCCTTTCCTTTTTACACACGTAACACCCATAAATTGCACTACACAGTAAATGGCGTTATAGCGTTAACTCAGGGAAGTTTCCCTGTTGCGCCAGCAGAGTGCGCAGTAGCGCTGCAGATTCCTTTTCTGATGCTGGTGATGAGACACGGCCATTGCCGTGGAGATGACCTCCAAGAGTTCTGATCCAGAGACAAAGAGTTTGAATTTATCATACATTGGCGTAGCATGCTAGCTAACGTCACAATGAGGTGATGCTACGTTTGTATCTGTATACAGCGTTATGCATCCTGTCATTCATGTTGATGCAATCAAAAAAACAACAAAAAGACAACTGGAGACACACAGACTAATGTATGTATCTTGTGATCTGTTTAATTTGGTGACTTAGTCTGAAAAATATGGTGAATGCTGTGATGTGTTTACTGAAAGCTAATCTTACTGAGTTAATTCATCTACACACAGTGCTCGAGTTGAGGGGGGTTGAGGGGAGATGGCACCCCCCTGAAATAAAAATGTTAAAAATCATCCTGGCAAGCTCAGCGGGTAGGGCAGGCGACCCATGTACAGGGGCTATAGTCCCCGACACAGTGGCCCGGGTTCGATTCCAGCCAGCGGCTCATTTGCTGCATGTCATTCCCCCTCTCCTCCTCACGTTTCTCTGTCTATCTTTCACTTTGAACTATCATTAAAGGCGGAAAAGCCCAAAAATAAATCTTAAAAAAAAACAAAACATTCCCCCTCTCAAACGGTCATCCCCCCTTTCCATCCCCAGCCATTTTTACCAATCAGTGTGGAAATATTACAACTATTCTGAATTTCTGACAATGGAAATATAACCACTATTCCAATATTTAGGGAGATTTGCGTTCAAAGGGACCGTTCTTTAGGCCGTCAAGTTGTGTGCGCATCTGCTCTGTTGATAATCAATTTTGAGTAAGACACTGTGGGAGAGCAGGCACGTGCGAATGTGACACAACGTTTCTTTTTTCTTTTTCATCAACGTCAGTGAGCGGCATAGTAACGCAAATAGCAGTGTTGCCAGTGACGTGCGGTCAGGGGAGGCAAGTGAGGCAGAGCCTGATGATTTTTAAATTCAAAATTGCTGAATTTTCGCAATTTCCCATTCAAATGCTTGGAAGAGAAGCCAGTGAGGCAGGCAGTTCTCTTGCCTCATGGCAGGGGGCGCTCTGATCCCAGACATGCTTCTTGTGACTGCGGCTGCAGAGTGACAGCAAGCTAGACTAGGTACGGTATACAGTTAGCAAGTCAAGTACAGCGAAGGAAGATAAGGAGACTTTTACAAAAAAGTGACGGATATTTCTGTCCAGAAGGTAAAGGTAAAGGTAAGACCACAATAACTTAAAAAAGAAACATGCGTTTTGTGTGCTACAGCTAAAGAATGCAGATATGAAACATAACCCGTAAACTGCTGCCAATCAAATGGCAAATATGCTACTGTGTAGAGTGCATATATTTGTAGATAAGATTCTGATGAAGTCAGTGCCTCACCAGCCATGAACCTCACGTCACTGGGTGTTACGATTTTAGCGCCACGGCCAAGCGACGAGGACAGCTCGATCTGAGGGACTTTGGATTTAAGCGGGAAAAAAGTGACATTTTAGGTAAGTCAAAAGTCATGAAAATCAGTCATTACTTTCCATAAACCAACTATTCTGTCACCAAATGTGTAATCTCTGGACGTAGTGATAACAACACAGCTAATGATGCTAGGTTGCTAACGACACTAACGGTTACTGGCTGACTCGGGTTTGGCTTCTCAGTGGGGTTTAGTTTTGTTTTCAGTCTGGGCTGAACACGATAACGTTTGTTTGGGATTCTCCAGGCTATATAAACATGCAAAGAATTGAACATAAATGTCATTTATCATAGTGAAAGTAGAAGTCACATACTGTAGTCATAAGAGTAAAATCAGAACGTACAGGCATTAATGAACATTATTAGTATGAGCTTAACTTTAAACAGTCTCTCAAAACCTTGTGCCTGCTTTGGGAGCTTCGCGTCGGACGGTTCACGCCTCCGCGTCGTCCATTAATTTCTGATAATGGACACCTCGTCGGGCATTATCCCTTACTTATATAAACCACTACCAGAATAACACAGGCAAACTCTCTGGGTAAATAATATGGACGGAAACTCACAGCTAACAGTTCGATGTCTCTTGTGCAGATCTTCTCCTTGACAGTGACGTGTCCAGAATGGCACCAACGCTGATCAACCAGCACTGTAATACCACCTCCCTTCAGCTTCCCGCTCAGCTGTTTATTTCGGTCTGCATGGACCGTCTTTTAGCTAGCGATCTTATGTTACCCATCACAACAGTTGGAAGAAACGGTTTAAATCTCCACCGTTTTTCTCTCTGCCTTACCCCTGCTCTGCAACCTCTTCTCTTCCTCTTTAACTCCACTGGGATTTGATGTAGTATTTCACTGAAAATTTTGATTTGGGAGAGTTTTAACAGTTGATCACGGTTGTAGCCAATTTTTCCGTTGCCATGGATACTCATCATAACAACTTGTGAAAAAGGCTAAATATATGTAAAAAAAAATCTCCTGAGTTGCAGAGATTTCAACTCAGCATAAAAAATCATCCAAGAAAAACCTAATCTGACAGGTAATGTCAGTAAAAAGACAACAATATATCAAAAAAAAACTCAAAAGCAAAGGGAGCTGTTAGAAGTTGCTGCCACCTAGCGGCGCATTCCAGAACAGAAGGATATATTTAGGAGATATTTCAATTTGGGATTTTTAATAAATTTGAAAACACAGGGAGAAAACAGCAATCATATCATCATGTAAAGTACAATGTTTAATAGTTGTTTAAGTAGAGAAAAACATTTTAAGTCCTAACCCTAACCTGACAGTTGCTAAGAGCTTCACTGCAGAGTGGTAGTAGAGTAGAGTGGTAGAGTTTAAACTTTTCCACCAAGAGTTGTATGACAACACAAATTCCAGCACTTTTGACATATAAACCTTTTGGAGTACCATGATTCTCACTGACCAAGTTAATTCTGTTCGTCTATTCTCTTCTACGTATGGTCTGGCAGTGAAAATAAAATAGCTCCATTTGCATACATTAACAAGCATAGAGTAGTATGGATGTTCCCTCTTACCTCATCATAGATGCTGTCATTTCGCTCAAAGTCCCCCGCTTTTCTGGGCAGCACATGGACATGGACATGCTGTAAGCACACAAACAAGGTTTAGCTGTTATGCTCTGTGTAAAGAAAACAGACAATTCCCAGCGGAAACAATACTGACAGACTGAAGTCACAAATATAGTTTCCATAGAGAGTCTTCATTACTTCACAGTACGTTGAAGAAGCCAGAGCGGAGCATTACTCCTGTGTCACAAATCACAGGAGGGTGACTGTGCATTTCACCAAGCGAGGTGCCTGCACACCGCAGAGACTCCTTATTTTCACGCTTTTAAGGATTTAATTGACTTCTTCCGGGTCCCCGTCTGATGTCAGACACCCTGCTGTCACAAACTTGGCCATCTGTATGGTTAACTTTGATTTCCTTCTCTGCATGGATGATGTGGTTTGTCCCTAAGAAACTGTTTTGTCTGGCAAAGCACACACTGAGCAACAAAGAAACAGCAAACATTCACTAAAGCAGAAACAACAAATTCTGTGTGATGGATTTATAAAGAAACAGAATAATTGTATGTAAAAAAAAAAAAAAAAGGGAGAGGAGAAGACATCCACTGATTGGTTTGGGTCCTGTGGGTTGCCATGTCACGTCCTCTGGGGAATGGGTTTGTCCCAAAACATACCATGACTGCTCAGTTGGATTGGGATGCAAACAGTTTGGGGGCTGAGTCAATGCCTTGGGCTCCTTGTTGTGTTCCCTGAGATGTTCCGAGCCACTTTTTGTAATGTGGTGGTATTTTGAAAGTAACATTCATGTAAATGGCGCTACCCCAGTTTCCCAGAAATATACTGCATTGTGGCAAGAGGATCAATGTTGTTCACATCACCTGTCAGTGGTTTTTATGTTGTGGTTTACTGGTTTTGAGCATAGGTTGAATTAAGGACAGGTAAGTTGTAGAACAAGAGCTTCACTGCAGAGTTCAGGAACTTTTGAAAATGGGCCATACGTTTTAATTCAAAGTCTGGAGCAAGCTGGATCTGGTCTAAGCACCTCTCTGCAGAGTTAAGAACAATATGGTCTTGGCCTGCCAGCCTTGTTTTAAACTTCTGACTAAGACCAGAAACAGCATTTAAAACCTGGTTCACAGGAGTCATTTTAATGAAATACATCCAATCCTAAAATTGAGCTGCATTCCTATAAAGACGAAGAGCCACAGTATTAGCCTCACGCTAAGAGCTTCACCATCACCCTGATCTAGAAACAATCTGGACATGGCTAAGAGCAAAGTTGTAAAGTATAAAGTTCAGGAAAAGCCCTATAGAAATGTAGATGTAGATTGTTGAACAGTTGCTCAACAGATTGAGCAGGTGACCCATATATGGAGGATGAAAGTCCCCAACGCAGCGGCCATGGTTCGAGTCCAACCCACGGCGCAATTGCTTTATGTCCTTCCCCACTCTTCTCCCTACCTTTCCTGTCTCTTTCTACTTACCTCTGTAAGAAAGGCCAAAAAAATAACATTTGAAAAATCAAAAGAAAAAAAAAAAGGCTACTTTGTCATACTGAAAACAATAACTACAGAGTAAAACATTGAGTAATTATGTGGGCCTGATGCAATATTTAAGTTGTAGAATACATTGTTGAAAAGTTGGGATCAACCGTCACAGGTACAGTGGAGCTTTGTATTTTAATGACAGTGTTTAAAAAGGCTAAAAAAAAGTCTTTGTTGTGCTGTAGCAATGACCAGAATAAAACACTAGATAATAATAATGAGCCCCTGATGCAATATCTTAGTGGGCACAAAGGAAAATAGGTAAATATGCACCTAACAGCAAGAGCTCATATACAATAAAACGGGGATATAGTGCTCAATCTATTGAAAACCAAATTCAGCAGTCTGAGCTGCCCTCCCTCTGTCTGGTTTGATGTTGAAGCACATGATTTCATTCATGCCCTTCCACACGTTGTGGGTGTTGTCCTGCTAAAGCTTGTCCTCCAGCTTCCGCCTGTAAGCATCCTTACAATCACTCAGCTTTTCCTTGAGCTGCCACGATATCCTTTTCAATTTGTCCTTGATTCCAGATCTGAAGACCTGCTTTTTCTGGTTCCGAAGATCCTTCAGCTGGCTAGTGATGATGGTGATAATGACACTTTCTCACCAGCTTCAGCCAACATCTTCACAAGGTCTTTTGCTTTTGTTCTGAGGTTGATATGCACATTTTGCACCAAAACACGTTCGTCTCTGGGACACAGAACTTGTCTCTTTTCTGTGTGATGGTGTGTGTATGATGGCTGGACATTCCCATAGTGTTTATACTTGCATATAATTGTTTAAACAGAACAACATGGAACCTTCAGGCATCTGGAACTTCTACCCAAGGATGAACTAGACTTGCGGAGGTCCATAATTGTCTTCTTGATATCTTGGCTGATTTCTTTAGATTTTCCCATGTTGTCACAAAAGGAAGCAGTGTGTTTGAGGTGTGCCTTGAAATACATCTACAGGTGTGCCTCCAACTAACTCAAACGTTGTGTATTAACCTGTCAAAAGCTTCCAAAGGCATGACGTCATCATCTGGGCTTTCCCAGATAGTCTGAAGGCATAGTAATCTTCGTGTATGTAAACTTCAGAATTTGAAGTAATAAAAAAAATCTCTGAAAAAATCTGTCTCTCATTGTTCTGGCATTTAGCAAATATAAATAATTTTGGTAATCTTAACTGATCTAAAAGTTTAGTCTGATTTAATATCGGTGAAAAAAACTTTTTATACAGTGTATGCAAACATCTGGTTTCAAGTGCACATGGTCTTTACAGGTATATGATATAAATTGTTGCTCATGACTCAAAATGAAAGATGCAGCTTTGGTGTTCCACCAAAATAGTGATGAGCAGATTTATTTTGGTGGAACATACACACAGCACAGATTGAAATGGACAATCCACTGAAGAAAAAAAGGGCTGCCTCAGTGAATGGTTCAAATTATCTGCAAAACTTTGCTTTCCAATGCTGTATGTACATGTCTGACAAAGCAGATTTATGTCACGGACTCTGCTGGAACCTCCATCTCCTCCTAACTCCACGCCCTGGCTGTTTTCCATGCACACATTCCTCTGCTCATCCTCAAGTCAACACCTGCTAGCTGTCACCACCACTACACAGTCTCCACTGGCATACACTCTGACTGCACCACCTGTCAGTCTATCAGTTGCCTCCAGGCCTTACTCAGACAGTAATGCAGCGGTCCTCACTGTTGTTAATCATTATTCTAAGTATGTGAACTACACATCTACAGTACTACATCAAAATCTTTCAAAGAAGCACTGGAACTTAAGTGCTTCTTTGCTCATTTTGATGCAGCAGGCACAGACAAAATACCTTCACCAGTCTCTGACAGGTCACTGTGCAGGAGCATGAGAGGAGACCACCCCCAGACATATAGAATATGTAACCACCTTTCCTCTCCATTAGTACACTCTGGACTGGCTCCCCACAGGGCTGTGTGTTGAGCCCCATCCTCTACTCACTGTACACATACTATTGTGCCCCATCCATAACACCATTCATCGTTCACCGACCACACAACTATGGTTGGATGTATCTCAGGAGATGAGTCCACCTACAGAGATAAAGTCCAAAGACTGACAATGTGGTGTTCAGAGAACTATCAGTTCCTGAACTTCACAAAAACAAAAGAACTGTTACAGACTTTTGAAGAAACTGGGCAGACCCTGATCCGCTAACAGTCAACAGGGACTTTGTGGAAAGGGCCCCTGCCTTCTGGTTTACACATCAATGAGGATCTCTCCTAGACTACCAACATCACAACAGTGGTGAAGAAGGCACTGCAGCAGCTCCACTTTCTGAGAATATTCAGAAAAAACAACCTGCAGCAGCCTTCCCTATCAAGATGTTACAAAGGAAGAGATGTGTTTTAGAGACACATGTAAATGAGAGATGGTGTAATGCTGGGTACGTTAGCCTTAAAGAACAGCGCTGCACAAAGGGTTTTGAACTGCTGGTGGTTAGTTTGCGGTTGTATTACCTGCCAAGGAAGTTTTCGCACGTCCTTGCAATTACAGTGTACATCCCCCTTGGCTGATGATGCTGCATCTTGTGAACTCATCCATAGTGAAGTGTCCCAGCTGCAAACATCAAACCCTCAGTCTCTGATCATCATCTCAGGAGACTTTAATCATAAATCGCTCGCTACCACTCTCCCCACATTGAGTCAGTATGTGGACCGCCCAACTGGAGACAATAAAACCTTGGACTTACTGTATGCAAACACCAAGGATGCATACAGCTCCTCCCCCCTTCCCCCGCTGGGTTGCTCAGATCATAACCTGGTGAGACTGCAGCCCATTTGCATATCTATGGTGAAGAAACAACCCCTCACCATAAGGTATGTGAAGAAGTGGTCTCAGGATGCCACTGAAGCGCTGCATGACTGTTTCAAGACCACGGACTGGGATGTACTATGCAGCCCACACAGTGAGGATGTCGACACCATGACTCACTGCATCACAGACTACATAAATTTCTGTGTAGAGAACACCATACCCACCAGGAAAGTACGGTGTTTCTCTAGCAATAAATCCTGGGTGTCCCCTGAACTGAAGGCCCTGCTGAAGGAGAAGAGGAGGGTTTTTGGATCTGAGGACAAAGAGGAGCTGAGGAGGGTGCAGAAGGAGTTGAAGAGGAAGATCAGGGAAGGAAAAGCCAGCTATAAGACCAAGATGGAAAACTACTCGCAACAGAATAATGCAAGAGAGGTCTGGAGAGGCCTCACAACCATCTCTGGTCACAGCAGAGGCCATGAGACCAGGAGTGGGCCAACAAACTGAATCTGTTTTTCAACAGATTTGATTCTGCTCCACTCCTCCGGCTAGTCATCAAAGCACCGACCAGCCAGCTCTCCTTCCACACTGCCTCAGCTCTCTGCCATCTCTGCCATCCCCATCACCCTGAGCCTGAGTCCGAAGAGGGTCCCATCGCTGTGGAAGACTTCCTGCATGGTTCCTGTCCTGTATGTACAATGCACCACAGGGAGCCCAACCACTTCAGACCTGTGACCCTCACTTCTC